ATTCGGATAAGGTACAGACTCCCACTTCCACTGACAACAGTTTCTTTCCATATAAGACAGAGCAGGAAGCAGCCAACAATGCTGCCTGTCTTTCAGATCTCAGTGACTCACACATATACTACTCTTGTAAGTTAATTTAATACTGGAATGGGCACTTATTATTGGTAGTGAACATTTATACAGTGTCTTTCATCAGCAGAGAGCTCACAATGCTTTATACAGTGTTTCTAAACACACATAAGCAAAAAAAAAAAAGATACTGCCATGTTCAGATGGAAAATGGCAGCCATATAGCACACAGGAGAAGAGTACCATAGCATACAGGTCTAGTTGCCCCAAAATGAGTAAGGAATTAGAATTACAGTCCTTTGTTATGACAGCAGTCCTGAGTCATTAAAGTATATCCTATAATGAGAGTCTCAAACTTCGCTTTTACGCTGGATCACAGTACCCTGTAAAAAGGAAATCAAAATCACTGCAGCTGTGAAAAAGGAATTTTTGTTTAGGAAAATGTCTTACTTGAACTAGAATTCAGCAAGGACACTAGAGCAGCTGTGAGAGAGATTCCCTGGCTATTCAATGAACACTTCAGAGCACCGAAACACTATACAGTACAGTTACTATTACTGCAAGTATCAGGACCTCATTCTTACACCATATGCAGAGCACAATGATTCAGGTTAAAAGGTTCTTGCAGGCACTATCCTGGGACATTTGTTCAATTCCAGTTAGGGACAGTGTGATCTGGTGAAGCAGCATCATTACTTCCTACTGCTCTCGGAAAGAAACTGTAAAAACAGTAACTATGCTTAGATCTTCTATGAAATGTGATGGCTAGGCAGAAGTATGGTTCTGGTTCTCTAGTTCTCAGAATATACATAGTACATACAGAGCAGGCTAAGTTTCTTACCTTAGAGTATATGATAGTTAAGTTCTAAAAAGAATGTAATTTAAGACTTAAATGTCAATCAGTCTCCTCAATTTTTGCTTCTTGGCTGAAGAAGACACAAATGAACCTGCTTGTACACAGTTTTGGGGACATGTCTAGTTACCCACTAGAAATACCAACTTCTATTAAGTTTTTGTGATAAAAATAGGGTAAGACCACAAATAGAAGAAGTATTAGAACTGCACTCATACTCCCTGAATTTGAAAAGGTTGTGTTCAGAAACATTGCTTGCATACGGCTTTATAATAGACATAAATTGCTTGTTTAAACTGAAACATCTACAAAATCAAGCAAAATCTGAATCCTGAAAGTTCAACTAATAGTCATGCTGGCACCGCTTCTTTTATTCAACAACCTCAAAATATTTTAAGGTGGATCAATATTACCACCTACATATACATAAAGACATGGAGTTGATTCACCGAAGGATATGGTGTTTGGTTTGGGTTCCTTGTACTTCAATTTGTCATTTAACCGAGGTGTTTTAAGCTGGGAACACTATCCTCAATCCTTAGTGCCCTCTATGGTCTGAGAGAGGAAACGGGCAGCTTCACAGAGTGACTCGCATCGTGGTCGGTCTGAATCACTGCTCAGAGGCACCATTCTTTCTCCACTGCCTTTCTCCACTGTTCGTGGGGGATGAGATTTCTGTGGAGATGCCTAAAATTTTCAGAATCAGCCCATGCCTAGTGTTATGAGTCCCTGTTTGGCCTGTAATTTGCAAATCTTAGCAAAATATAACAACCTAAATTTATCGGAGCTTAGATATTAGTTATGAGGTGTTATCTTTATTGGTATCATAAGATGTTTTTGAATACTGTGTAGCTAAGTTAAAAGGAGATGGGCTATTATGTAAGTATAGCGTATTTCTGGTAGAATTGCCTGTCAGGCTAGACTGGACACAGCTATATTTCTGATGCTTGGATGTCAAATTCAGGTATGTACACCAAAATAAGCACTTAGTCAACAGCTATATACAAGCTGCTTAATATCACCACCTTTAGACCTGCTGCAAAATTAATTTCCAGTTCCAGTCTTTCACGTAACAGTAATAGTCTCATCTGTCTGTTTTTCTATGTCTTCTCTGCCTTATTGATTTAAAGAGGAAAGTGCTTGATTCATTTTGGCTGGGAAGAAACAAAAAGTAGGGATTTTTAATTCGTTTTTCTACGAAAGCAGATCTTACATAATTACATTTTCTGGTGTCCTTCTCACCCTAATATTTTCTGAAGCTGTTGCCCAGTTACACTGGCAAAGTAGTAGAAAGGAATCTGGGGGTGCTGGTTTGATGCTAAGCTCCGTAGGAGCCATCAGCGTGACCCGGCAGCCAAGAGGGCAAACCGCATCCTGAGTGCAAGTAACACAGCGTAACCAGCCGGTCAAAAGAGGCGATTATCCCCCTGTAGTCAGCGCTGGTGCGGCCTCACCCTGAGTGCTGTCTGCAGTTCTGGGCTCCACAATTTAGGAAGGATGTTCAGTCCTTGAATGCGTCCAGAGGAGGGCAACAAAGCTGGGGAAAGGGCTGGAAGGCATGTCCTGTGAGGAGCAGCTGAGGACTTTGGGCTTGTCTGGTTTGGAGAGAAGGAGGCTGAGGGGGGACCTCATTGCTCCCTGCAGCTTCCCGAGGAGGGCAAGTGGAGAGGGAGGTGCTGAGCTCTTCTCCCTGCTACCCAGTCGCAGGACGCATGGGAATGGTTCAAGGCTGCGCCAGGGGAGGTTCAGACTGGACATTAGGAAGCATTTCTTTACCGAGAGGGTGGTCAAACACTGGAACAGTCTTCCTGGAGAGGTGGTCGATGCCCCAAGCCTGTCAGGGTTAAAGAGGCATTTGGACAATGCCCTTAATTACATGCTTTAACTTTTGGCCAGCCCTGAATTGGTCAGGCAGTTGGACTATATGACCTTTGTAGGTCCCTTCCAACTGAAATATTCTGTTCTATTCTATTCTATTCTATTCTTCTATTATTTTCTACTCTATTTTCAAGAGATATTACAAGAGCCTGAACACTACAGACAGCTTTTGAGTAAGAATGCACAAATAACGAAAATCTGCACACAGCACAAAATTGCATTCAACTTGCTCAGTCTAAAGCATTTTAGGTTAGTCAGATGTCTTGTCAATGACTCTTTCATTGACAAAATGTATTTCTTACTTGCCTGTTTGCCGCCCTTTGAATAATATAAACATTCACAGAAAGAAAAGACATACAAAAGCAGAGTGGCCTTACGGCCGGCACTTGCTGTTAGGCTACAGAGAAGGGAACTCCTGAACTGAGCGATACAATCGAAGTGATTGCAAGATCTCCTCATGTACTAAGCTAATACCCTAATCTGTCCTTAACCGTGCTTTGGAAACATGACGAGGTTCTTATTCACGTCAGCGAGCGCGCGCACACGTGCGTGGAAAGGGAAAGGGAAGGCTTGGTGCGACAGGCGTGAGGCAAAATCTCAAACCCTGAATCTTCCGTGTGAGAATATTACGGGCTCCAACAGCCACTCCGACCCCGCCGGGACCCGCGGAGCGGGTCAGGGCCTCCCACGGGGCGCAGCCGAGACGCGCGGGCGCCGGCCAAGCTACCGGCGAAGGCCGCCTGCGGTCT